CCAGAACTCATCCTTTTGAGTGACCAAGAAATAGCTAACCTACCAGATGCACAGTTAAAACACTGGTGATCAGGAAGCTCACAGAATTGGTTGATTTTGGGTGCAAATTACATGAAAAAATGCAGGTTACCATAAAAGAGATGAAAGAAGATGCACGGAGAACCAAAAGTAATGGGAAGGATGCTGGGACTCAAAACAATAGAGTGGACCAGAAGGAAGAAAAAAAAACAACAACAACAAACAAACAGGAAAGAATGAAGAAATAAGAATTCAAAAAAATGAGGAGAAGCTTAGGAACCTCCAGGACATCTTTCAACGTTCCAATATCTGAATTATAGGGGTACCAGAAGGGGAAGAGGAAAAGCAACAGATTGAACATGAATTTGATCAAATAATAAAGGAGAACTTCCCCATTCTGGCAAAGGAAATAGACTTCCAGGAAATCCAGGAAGTGCAGAGAGCTCCAAAGAAGTTGGACCCAAGGGAAAAAAAAACAAGGCACATCATAATTACATTAGCCAAGGTGAAAATGAAGGAGAGAATCCTAGAAGCAGCAAGAGATAAGGGGACAGTCACCTACAAAGGAGTTCCCATCAGACTGTCAGTAGATTTCTCTAAAGAGACCTTACAGGCAAGAAGGGGCTGGAAAGAAATATTCCAAGTCATGAAAAACAAGGACCTACACCCCAGATTCTCTATCCAGCAAAGCTTTCATTTAGAATGGAAGGGCAGATAAAGTGCTTCTCAGATAAGGTCAAGTTAAAGGAGTTCATCATCACCAACCCCTGATTTTATGAAATGCTAAAGGGACTTTCCTAAGAAAAGAAGATAAAGAAAAAACATGTATAGTAAAAGGACAGCAAACTCACAATTATTAACAACCACACCTAAAGCAAAACCAAAAGAAACTAAGCAAACAACTAGAACAGGAACAGAACCACAGAAATGGAGATCACATGGAGGGTTAGCAACAGGGGGAGTGGGAGGAGGAGAGAGGGGGAAAAGGTACAGAGAATAAGTAGCATAGATTGTGGGTTGAAAATAGATAGGGGGAGGGTAAGAATAGTACGGGAAATGTAGAAGCTAAAGAACTTATAAGTATGACACATGGACACGACTAAAGGGGGGGATATGGGTGAAGAGAGGGAGTACAGGGTGTAGGGAAGTGAAGGGGGGAAAATGGGACAACTGTAATAGCATAATCAATAAAATAGATAAAAAAAATTCGTAATAAATAAAAACAAAAAAAAAAAACAAAAAAAGAAAAAGAAAAAGATAAATGCAAAACATAAACATTCAAACTATATTAAGTCAGGCAGTCCAATCCAGAGTCTAAAGATTATACATAAAAATATATTCTACATAATATAGATAAAATATATGAATACGTAGTCTCAAAGTTTATTTGGAGTACAAGGTACTATATTTTGAACACTAATATTTTATGAGAAAGTTGGAGAGGCAGAGATGGGCAGCCAGGCCAGAGAGGATGTGTGGCAAGGCAGCAGCTGGAGGACCAGATGGGTGAGGCAGCAGCTGGCAGAGCAGGCGGACCCACATTTGCATGCAGATAAACTGGGAGGAAGAATTGGGGAGTGAGACAAGCTGCACAACCCAGGGTTCTTACGTGGAAAAAGAAAGCCTCAAAATCTCTGGCTGTAAAAATCTGCAGGGGTTGCAGTGGCAGATGAAACTCCCAGCCTCACATAGAGTTCGTTGGAGAGACCCACAGGGTCATAGAATGCACACAAAACAACCCACCTGGGAATCAGCACCAGAAGGGTCCAATTTGCTTGTGGGTAGCAGAGGAAGTGACCAAAAGCCAACAGAGAGCAAAGCAGGCAGCATTGTTCCCTCTTGGACCCCTCCCTGACATAGAGCACCACAATGCAGCCACATTGGTGGCTCCACCCCAATTACTTAATAGGTGAACTGAGACAAAAAAAATATGGTCCAAATGAAAGAACAGCTCAAAACTCCAAAAATAGAACTAAGCAATGAAGAGAAAGCTAACCTATGAGATGCAGAGTTCAAAACACTGGTAATCAGGATGCTCATACAAATAGTTGAATATGGTTGCAAAATAGAGGAAAAGTGAAGGCTATGAAAAGTGAAATAAAGAAAGCGTACAGGGAATCAACTGTGATGGGAAGGAAACTGGGACTCACATCCATGGTTTGGACCAGAAGGAAGAAAAAACATTCAACCAGAACTGAATGAAGAAACAAAAATTGAAAAAAATGAGGAGAGGCTTAGCCTCTGGGGACATTAAAAATGTCCTCTGGGACATTTTTAAATGTTCCAACATCTGAATCATCGAGATGCCAGAAGGAGAAGAGGAAGAGCAAGATACTGAAAACTTATTTGAACAAGTAATAAAGGAAAACTTCCCCAATCTGGAAAAGGAAACAGACTTCCAGAAAGTCCAGGAAACCTAGAGTCCCAAATAAATTGGACCCAAGGAGGAGCACACCAAGGCACATAATAATTACATCACCTGAGATTAAACATAAGGGGAGAATTTTAAATGCAGCAAGAGGAAAGGAGAGAGTTACCTACAAAGGCATTTTCATAAGACTATCAATTGATTTCTCAGAAGAAACCTTGCAGGCAAGAAGGGGCTGGAAAGAAGTACTCAAAGTCATGAAAGGCAAGGACTTACATCTCAAATGACTCTATCCAGAAAAGCTATCATTTAGAATGGAAGGGCAGGATAAAGTGCTTCCAAGATAAGGTCAAGTTAAAGTAGTTCATCATCACCAAACCCTTATTATATGAAATGTTAAAGGGATTTATCTAAAAAAAAAAAAGAAGATGATTAAAACTATAACAATAAAAGGAAAACAATCTCACAACTATCAAAAACTGAACCTAAAAAACCCCCTAAACTAAAACAATCTAAGCAAATAACTAGAATAGGAACAGAATCACAGAAATGGAGATCACATGAAGGGTTATCAGCAGGGTAGGGGGAGGAATGGGGGAAGAGGTACAGGGAATAAGAAGCATAAATGGTTGGTACAAAATAGACAGGGAGAGGGTAAGAATAGTATGGGAAATGCAGAGGCCAAAGAACTTATATGTATGACCATGGACATGAACTAAGGGGAGGGGAATGCTGGTGGGAGGGGAGTACAGGGTAGAGGGGAATAAAGGAGGATGGGAATGGGACAACTGTAATAGCATAATCAATAAAATATATTTTTAAAAATAAATTTTAAAAAAGGAAAGTTGCTTCCCTTTAATATTAGATTCATGATAGTTTGCTACATTCCCAAGTGTTACTGAATTATATCTGACAGAACCTGCCACTCCGATTTCACAGTGGAAGCCAGTGGGGAAGGGATTAATTTTGGGGAAAAAAAAGTTGTTAAAATATTTAAATTAAATATTTCAAGCATGAAAAATAGCACAGCAATCATAAAACACCCAGTTATTCACCATTCAGCTTTGTTAAATATTAACACTGTCTTGTTTCAAAATTATTTTTCTTTTAAAGAAACAGAACTGGATTATATCCCCCGATCCCAGTTTCTTCATACCATACACCCCAGATAGCCACTATCATGAATCTATTATGCTAATAAAAAAATTCAATATATGTGCATATACTAAGAAATAGTTTAAAGTGTCAATCTGCATATTTAAAAACTCTGTAAAAATAGTATCATACTGCACTTAATGTGCAAATGCTTCTAGGTATTTACCTATGTTACTACAGATAGCTCTAATGCACTTATTTTCATCCTTGTATATCCTTTCACTGTGTGAATGTACTATCATTTATTAATTTGCCTACCAATGAATACTCTTTATTTCCCAATTGTCTATCGGTAATAACGCTGTCATATATTTGCCCTCTGGCAGAATCATTCTTTCATCTTGACCTTAGGCACTTTTCATCCTACCCGATGGTGTCACAATGTCCAGCTCCTTGGACAAATCACTCAGTTCTTCCTGGTCTCTCACTCTCTACCCTAGACCACCATTCCTTGACCATGAATATTTCTCTAATTATTCCCTCTTCTCCATTGCCCACCTCTTCTTTCTATTATTGATAGAGCTTGAGTGTTATCTTTAGATGGCTGACGTCCTCATAGTCCTCTCAGATGTCCAGCTAATCTCCTTTCAATCAATCCTCCACTCCGCTGCCTGCTGGAAGAATATACTTAAAACCCAACCTGGCTATGCCATGCCCTAGCACCACTCCCACTGCATGCAGGACACAAGTTCCTTATATAAGTTCCTCAAACCAGGACTGCATTTCTCGCTGGTTTGGTCTTCCTTCAGTGTCCTCTTCTGACCAGTGTCTCTGACCCTGTATCCATCCCATGCTGGCTCTGAGCCTCTACTTATGACTGGAAATACCTCCCCATTTACCCAGTGAGAGCCTCCTCATCCTTTAGGACAACTTCAGTTTCACATCAACCAGGCAACTTCTCTACCCATTGATTCTCTGTGCTCCCAACACAACATTTAATGATTCCTCATATTTTGCATTTTTCACTGATACTCCCAGAGCTCTTGTGTTCCTCCTGAGTCTGAGCGCTACCTGAGAGCAGGGACTGAGTTTTAGTCATCTTTGCATCCCTAGGTCCTAGGAAAGCACCCGAGACACTAAAAGGCATTCAGACATGGGCTGAGCTGAAGTGGAAGGTAGACAGTCCATTAAGTGTGTTTTATTTTCATAACAAGGGAGAGCCAGTCTACTTAAAACAAGCCGATTTACTATAGAAGACATAATAAGAATGGCATCCAGCCCTCTATGAACAAGACACCTGCCAGCTGACACTTCTGCATCGGTAAGTATAATTGATCTTAGTAGCACTGCAAGTGCCTTCGGAATCATTAGATCAAATGACACTCAGCCTCCATCACAGTGTGAGCACTGCACCATCTCCTACCTAGAACTTCCAACTACTTTACAATGTACCATCAAGGGACATAGTCTAGACAGTTTTCAACATTTCCTCCGAGACAAGATCACATTCTTTACCCACCTGTAACAAGCTCCCTTACTTCTGCATCAATAGATTTTCTCAACAGTCTCAACAAGGCAGGTATCCCACCAACATTCTTCATTGCTATTTTATTTTCATCTGTAGACTTGCCAAAAACCAGATTTCGGAGGGCACCACAAGCATTCTTCTGAACTTCCAAAACTCTGTGGTCCAAAAGGTCAACCAGATGCTTGATCCCCCCTAACCTACATACCTGGAATGAAAAATATTAAGTACCAGGCCTAAGTGACATGTGATTCAGCAGTGATAAAACTAAAGTCTGCTATAAAAAGATCATGGGAAATGGACAATTCCAGATCATTTCCAAAGGTTACTTTTCATTCTACATAACACATCTTTTATAAATTTTAAGGACAATATCCAAGATGAAGCTCTTTTCCTGGGTTCATAGCTTAGAAAAGGGAAGGAAGACCAAGGTGGATGAATGTCACATGTAGGCAGCATGGTCCTACTCTGACCCTCGGAACACACACAGGGATTTACTTCTACTCCCACATGGAATGAACGAATACTCAAACACAACAAGGCTGTATGTAGGGTTGGAGATCAAACAGAAAAGGACTTTTGACCAAAGTCATTCGGTTTCTAGAAGTGTTTCTCTAAGGTACTTTCTCTAAAATTATTTCCACTTGTCAATTCATTGTTATGCTATATGCATATTTCTATATTTCTAGGTTTTTTTTTTAACTGCATCCACCTTTGGTCTGTAGCTGACATTTTGTTTTGCATATTAAATTGATGAGAAACACTTAAATTCTATATAAAATTTCAGGGGAAAATGGCCTAAAATGTTAAAAGAAAGAATCTGTATAGTATAGGACACTAGCCAATAACCAATGGCTCACTGTTTCTGTAAATGCCAAAAAACTTAAAAATGTGAAATAAAATGTTCCTATATGTTCAGTATTAGTAATGGTTATAAATTCTCTGCAACTTTACTTAATTGGATGTTGGCTTCAATCTTCACCAGAATCTCATAAAATACATGAGCTCACTCATTTCAAACATACTATAATTTTTATGCAACAAATTTTTGTAAAATACTTTAAAAATGCAGATTAAATTGATTTTTGCTTCATGGTTTCTATTTTTACAAATAACCTAATGAGTGGACACATAATTTGAAAATTCTAAAAGCACTCCAAGAAATATACTCATCCTCACTTTCCTTGAGAAATAATGAAATACAGAGCTAAGTAGTAAATGATTATCTGATATCAAAATATCCTTCTTAAAGGGTATCTGATAATTTAAGTGCACAATCATGTGACTGCCAAACGGAAAGGCACTGGGGTCCTGTACCTCCATCTTCACTTTGTTGTCGCCGAAGCACAGGTGCTGTAGGTAGGCTGCTGCGTTTGCCTGGACTGAGGGGAACTGGTGCTGCAGCATGTGAATCACTTCAGGCAACTCAGGATCACGCCAGGCAAACTCCCTGTATGAGAAACAGACGGCTTCAAAAATGAAGGCCCATGTTTTAACAATACATTGAATGAAACATTTGGCATAAGAAAAAAACTCAGCTGAGACCAGAATTGGAAGTTACAAAAATCCTAAAATACACACATATATAAATAATTTCTTTCCCTGATGAACACACACAGAGTCCAGATGCTTATGATCTTAAAGAACTCATGATGCACAGATACACAAAGATTCAAAGGAACAAAGAAGTTCTTAAAGTGAATAACTTTTTCATTTTCTTTTTCCTCATCTTGATTCTAATTCTATGCCTTTATACCTATGTAAGAAACTTGTAGGTGCAGGCTAAGGTAAACTCAGGTAAACAAGTGTACTTTAGCTAGGAGAGCTGTCACGTGGAGAAAGGGAAGGGCTGCCACGAATACACAGATCTGATGTCAGCCCAGAAACCGCAAAAGTTGCGGGCCTCATGATTTTCAAGAAACATCGTGTTTATGGTTGCTCTTGATTATAAGCAGTAAACATAGAAAATTATTTAAAAAATTTTTTATCACAAATATGCAGACAAAAAAAGACTGCTGACGCTTCCTGCTGGTCTTTTTTTTCTTTTTTTAAATCCTTACCAGAGGGTTAATGTTTTTTAAATTGATTTTAGAGAAAGAGAAAGGAAGAGACAGAGAGAGAGAAAGATCAATTGGTTACCTCCTGTATGTGCCCCAACTGGGGCTTGACCAGGGCTAGAAAGGGCAACCTAGGTATATGCCTCAACTGGGAATCGAACCCACACCTTTTGGTGTCTGAGACAATGCTTCAAGTAACTGAATTACCTGGCTGGGTCCTGCTGGTCTTTAATTTTTAAACATGTGTGCAAATGTGCACATATGTACGTGCACATTTTCCCCCTAAAGAACTGGATTATTATTAAATAGCACTTAAAATTTCACGAGTACGTATTCTGTGCCAGGCACTATTCTAAGCATTTTATCCATATTAATTCATTGATTCTTATAGATTTGGAGATTGAGACAGAAAGGCTAAGCAACTTTTCTCAAGTCACCCAGCTAGCTAACAGCAAGGCAACATTTGAACTCAGGCAGTCTGACTTCAGATTTCTTGTATATTTCTTGCTACCCTATTTTTGTATAACAAGCATACAATCAGACTAAGCGTATATAGTTTTACAGTTGTTCATATGAAAAAGAATACAATAATTAATAATGCAAGAATAAACTGTTTTGCATACTCACAACTGTAAACTTACTTTTGGCCAATCCTGTCTCTCCATAAGGAATAGAAAACTAATGCATGTTTCGAAGCAGAAGAGTAATAGAATGGGACATGGCCACATTTATAAGGAGAATAACTCTATGGCTAAGTAGAGAATGTACTAGAATCAGAAAAAACTGGTAATAAGGAGACTATCCACCATTCACATATTTGCTTGAAACAAAATACAGCCCTCCTTAATTTTTCTCTTTTCCTTATCCTTGTTATTCAATCCATCAGCCAACTCTGCTGACTATCTCCAAAATATTTAATATAAGCCAAACCCACCCATTCTGTCCATCAAGCTGGGACCACTCTAACAGACTCCTATATGTTCTCTCTCCTTCAAATGCTACCCCTTCCCCACTGATTCACTCTCTGCACAGCACCCAGATGTCTTCTGAAAACTGAAGTCAGCAGAGCTATCTGGTTTGGGGACAGACTGGATGATCGTGTTATTAATAGACACTAAGAATACCACAAATGCTGAGAGGCAGGATAACCCATCAGAAAAAGAACAGAATTTAGAGTTAGATTGCCTATGCTGAAGTCCCAGGTCCTTCATTTACTATGTGATTTTGAAAACCAGCTAATTATTTGGAGCTTCAAATTCACCATTTAGAAAATAGAAGCAATAAAACTATCATTTCTACCTCTTTGTTTGGCTGTGATAATTAAATTGTGATGATGTATATTAAAATGTTTCATATACTTCAAATTATGATACAGACATTTTATTAATGTTCATCACCCCTGAAAAATGATTATAAATAGGGGCATTTTCTGCAATAATAGATGTCCTTTAATGCACTGAAACTATGTTAACTATTTATGATGAAAATCTAAGACGATTATATAAATCTATGCTGTAATTAACAAAGTGCAAGGAATGTGATTTGATCTTTCCTTGAGGATTTAAAATTATTACAAATACACATTTTTGTCCCTTCTAAATGACACAGGGGTAGCCCAGATTTCCTGGCATTCCTGGGTGCCACAAGGGCCAGCCAATACAAAGAGTAGGCTCCAGCTAGAGATGGGCAGTTAGACTTGGTTGGCATCAAGGCCAACCTTGATTTTCAGTGGAAATTTACCCTAGAAAGACTGCCATCAGTTCATGGTCTGGCTAGATGGCATCAATGCCTGGCAGGATTTGCTTCACTGAAACCTAAGGCATGGTGGAGTAATGTACTGAATTTTACCCTTCTACCGTAACTAACTATGAAACCAGACTAAATGTATGAGGACCCTGTGGCACAATGGACTTCTAAATGCATGAGAACACTGTTTTCAGGCCCTGAACAACAGGTACCAAGACTAATAATCTCTGAGAGAAGGGAATTACCGGAGGTGCCTTGTATTCACCTGGTTTTTTGCCTGAGGGTACTTTTGGGGGCAAGGCATAAGAAGTAAAGCAATGACTACCTTAGAGAGCTGAGGGAGAGAGGCTGGCCATTTGGAGATGCCAAAGTGGTTAGAACTTGTGGGATGGGTACTGGAGAAAAGGGAGCTATGCAGAGGAGATTCTCTTAAGACAAATATGTGGGAAGATTACTCAGAAGTTTTTAGTTAAGTGCTGTGCATGTAGAGGGTACATGTATAGGTCTGGTGGGCAGTGGCTGCTGCAAAACTGACAGCTACGCATGTGCATGCTTTGGCAGTACATACACAGAAATTGAGACTGAATTTATGCCGGGCGATGGTGGACTTCCATCTCAGTCAGTGCAGATCTTAACAAGCACCTTAGCATTTAGAATCAACAAAGGCCATGTAAGAACCATGCTGCAGAGGGGTCATGTGCTAGGAGTAAAACAAATCGAAAACAGACCCACTCTAACAAAAACAAAGAAACAAACAAACAAACAATCTCAACAGAATCAAAATCACCTGTCAGTAATTTAGTTATCTGCCTCAAAAAATTCAGAACCCTAATGGGAGACAACATAATCCAGAGTGCCTACAATGTATCATCCGTAACAGTTCACACATCATTTAATTGCTAGGTATAAGAAGAAACTAAAAAATGTTTCTTACAAAGATATAACCCTCCCCAAACAACAGAAACAGACCCAGAGAAAACCCAGTTGTTGAAATTAACACAGGAGAACTTTAACGTACTCAAAGATTTAAAGAAAAAGATGTATATAAGAATTGAATAGATGGGGAAGATCACCAAAGACATTGAAACTATGTAAAATGACAAATTCAAGTATCTGAAATAGAAAAAATTCACTGGATGAGCTTAACAACAGATTGGATACTACAGATGAAAAGACAGTAAATTTGAAGACAAATCAATCTAAAAATCTAATCTGAAGAGTATAAAGAGATTAATACCATGAAGAATGTTTCAGTACCTGTGAGATAATGCCACATTATCTCAGAAAAGGAGAGTGAATTGGGGGTAGAAAAAATATTTAAAGAAATAATAGTGGAAAACATCCTCATTTTGGTAGAAATCATCAATCAACATTTAAACAATCTTAGTGAATCACAAGCAAGTTAAATGTAAAGAAAACTATACCTAGGCCTTTCAGTGTAAAACTGCTTACAGTAAAAAATAAAAAGAAAAATCTCGAAGGCAGCCAGAGAGAAGATACATTACAAGGAAAAGGATGGTATAAATGATGTCTGACTTCTCATTAAAAACAATGAATGAGAAGACAATAAATGACATCTTTTAAAACTAACCCCCCAAATTATACCTGTTAATCCTGAAATTTATATCTAGTAAAACTATCCTTTAAAAATGAGTGAAATAAAAACGTTTCCAGATTTTCAGCTGAGAGCATTTCTTGCCAGCAGGTATGCAACACAAGGAAGGTTAAAGGATGTTTTTAGATTATAGGGAAATGAGTTGAGATGGAAAACTGAGTTTATGGGAAGACAGGAAGAGAACTATAAATAGTAAATATGTACATGAATATAAAGACCCTCTTTTTTACTTCTATTACTTCTATTACATTGTCTTAAAAGACAATGGACTATTTATAGTAAAAATAGTAACACTCGATGCGTTTATTATTAATAAATTTTGCTTCCAAACTAGACAACTCTGAAAAAAACCTCATAAATTTCCTTTTATATAGAAAACATAAATAACTTCTTCAGACTTAAAGAATTTTTCAGGTTTAGTATAATATTAACATTAATGATGAAGTAGGTTTAGAAATAAATAAAAAATATTACTTAAAATTGCTATTTTCAAAACAAAATTAAATAATTATTATGAGCTTTTTATTTTGCTTTGAATATTTACACTTCAAAATCCTCTGGATTCTAGTTTCAGCTAGAATACACCTATTATTAAAAGATAATAATTTATTCCATTTTACAAAATGAATTATCAGTCAAGTTTCACATAATTGAAGATAGCTGTAACAGTGTTTTATGCATTAGACTGTGGAATTATCTATCATGCCTTGAATTGCTGAAATATAATCATACATAAAATTTTTGTTTATAGTGAATCAACTCACATCAGAGGTCAAAACTGAATTCTTCAGGGACACGTATTAAACTCAAAGCTCTAATCATACTTCATGAACTTTCTGGGTAGTTATTCTTTTCTTTGCAGGTTTAGCAGAAATTTGGTCTAAATTACCTATCACTCAAAGTCCTTTGGGGGATTTCTGCATGTATTAGGGTGCCCGTGTCTTTGTCATTTTGAGGTTTTCAAATAAAATCATGTAAAAGTATTTCTGAATTGTATTAGAGGTGCTATTAAACAAATTATTTTATGAAATCCTTAAAATGACAAAAAGGAGGCAAGGAAAACAGCCAAACCAAATGCATATATAAACCATAAAGAATTTTACACAAAAAGAGTGAATAGGTGGAGTGGTTTTAGTGAAGCAGGTGGGTTTCCCATTCAACTCAAAATTACCTTTAGTTATTTTGTTTTAATGACCAAAAAACCCCACTCATGCTTTTAATTCATTCATTAGAATTAGTTGGTAGGTTGCTAAAGATGAACTGATAACCATAACAATTTTTCAGTGAAATGACTATTTGTGGGCAAAAAGTGAATGAATTCTTGCTAATGTATATATGCCTTAATATAGCATTCATGCTGCTTAAAAGTTAGCAATAATTTCACTCTTACAGAAATTTAAAGTTCTCCTTTAGTTTCTAAATGTTTATTTCCTGAATATTTTAAGTGATTTTCATTAAAGAGGAGGCCAGTTTCTTAAAACCAAGCAAATACTAAAGGACTCACACTTATCTTAATAAAACATGTTTTCTACATGGTCAAGTAGAATTTACAAGAGGAAACATTTATTATTTGCTAAATATTTTTAGCTTATGAGATGAGAATTTTTTGTAAATGATTTTTTCCTCAAATGATAGGAAGCTTTTTGAAGGACCAACAAAAGGGGACTCACAGTAATGGAAAAAATATAACAATACAGATTATATATTTAAAAAAGCACAAAAGAGCATTGACCGGTATGATTCAAAATATACCACACAGGTCTTTTCCATTTTAAAACAACCATGTATATTTTCTGAAGTCCTCAAGTAGTCACAAAAAAGAAAAAGTGGTAAAATAGTCCTTTAAAAATCTACGATGCAGACACAGAAGAGGATGTGCCATGCAGTTGCTGTGGTGAAGGATTTTAATGATGAATGCTGCAGATGTTCACACAGGCCTGTGCATTCTCCAACTAATTATTTAAGCATTAAAAGAAGGAATCCATCTCCTTCTTTAAATAAATTATTTAAAATGAAGTTAACCTCAATGACCTACGTGCTGCAATGCAACTGTAAATATTAAAGATAAGAAGTTACTGATATTATAATAGCATAGTCTTGGCAACCTGAGTAAAAGTGAGGATGAAGGCACTGACTGACTTCTGGGATACTGTAGCATCCTGAACACACACAAACAGTACTTGCCTGGGGTCCTTCTGAATGCTATCTATTGATGGGGATCTTGTGGTGCCATCATCAGTTGGTGCCGTGTGCTGCAGCCTGCTATAACTGCACTCTTGCACTCGGTATTGTATTGGCCTGTAGGGATCCGCATAGGTAGCTGTTGTGTTCAGAGCATAATTATTTCTTTGGTATGTAAGGGTACTTCGTTGGCTGGATGTCCTTTGGAGATTTCCAACACCTACTAGAGAGTCAACATTTAAAAAAAGGTTAGTGTGTTCTCTATGAGGTGACACTTACCAAAGTCAAAACATGTTTAATTTCAAGGATTATAGTTTTTAACAACTGTTTAACTTGCTTACTTTTAGATTTTACCAATCTAGCTCACTAATGCTAAAAAAAAATTAAGGTTTTATTATACACTAACAATAAAAAACTAACAATATTTTGTTTTTATTAGAACAGCAAAACTAAAATTATAAATCTGATTCATAATAGGTCTTAATATGTTTATTAAGATTCAGCAATAAAACTACAACAGAAACATAGGGAAATAATTCATCTTAGAAATAACAAAATTTTATAATTTCATTTTAGCAATAAAATACAAGATATGTCAAATCTGTAGAAAATTAAAACTATCAAACTTTTAACATTTCGTGTATATAGGTTATTCATTTAGACATACATTTCATTTATAGGCCTGTGGATTTTGATAACTTGGAAAATTCATTTCACAAGAGAGAAGACTGATATATCAAATTCTTCTAATAGCTACTCCCTTAAATTACTGTGTAATGCTAAGTGTAAAGGTACTAAACACTGTATTTAACACTTCTTTCCTAATTATTGCAGTACTTCTCCAATGATTGTATATATACTATTCCTGCAATTAAAATGTTTTAATAACATTATCTGTTAATCCTATTGAAGAAAATAATATGCAGAACATAAGAGAAATATTTCTGGACTACCACCATTAAAAATTGGTATGTTCTACTAGAAAAAAATCTTGCAGTGGAACAAATTGTCAGTTTTGACAAAGAACAAATTCAAATACATTTTTACCCTCCCTGTGTCCTGGGAGTTACGTCTCCTAGAGTTATGCCTTTAGGGTGTTATCATTGCTACCTGGAGTTCATTTGTGGACATGTTAATAAACCTGCACTATTTTATACTGGTTTTTTTTTCTTTTTTAAAGAAGGGGTCACTGAAGGTTCTGTGAGCCAGGCTGGGAGCACCACCTGGCAGCTTACATGACCATGGGCTGCAGCTCTGCTCTGTCAGCCACTAGAGTGTGGCACAGATGTCAGGGTCGGGGGGTGTAAGGCTGTGACACACTAGCTCCCTGTTTTTATAAATGCCTTTATTGCATTCTGTCCCAGGTTGAGTTCATCATAAAGAACATTTATTTCCCATTTTACACTTAAGCATTCAGAGGATATCCATTATACAGAAAAGAATAATACCAAATACACTTGGACTCCACATGTGCTCAGTCTAAAATAGCCAAAAACTCATGTAGGGGTTTTCTAAATACATGTTTCAGGCAACAAAAAAGACAAATATTCCAACAAAGGCTTTCCTTTGTATATCTGATATGGTTCTAAACCCAAGGGCAGTCAGATTTATAGCTCTACAAACTTATTTGGGAATTCACAGTACACTCACTATATTGATTAGATTGAACTAAGGTAAAAATATATCACCTAAAATAGGTACAAAATGAATTTTTGTTTTACTGTTAACTGATGTGCTGTCACAGTTGCTTTTCTGACAACCAAATGGGCAACAGAATTTTAGCGGATGCCCACCCGAGCCTGTGCGATACAATGCTGTCTGCGATCCTTGGAGCTCCACAGTCCCGTGGTTTGGGCTGCGGTACACTGGGCTGTAGTAGGTCCTCCCCTCATATATAGGAGTGATGTGCAAGTCGGGAGACACAGCTGAACGAAGGTCTTGTCCAAGCTGGCTGTGCTGACTGGCATAGGAACTCCGTAAGCCTAGAGGCAGGAAAATTCTATCATTAAGAAATTAAGAAAACTGTGGTGAGGTCAAAAGCTCTAAAGAAACTCCTAACCAATGTGACCAAATGTTATTAACTCAAAATACCAAACCTAGTGAATTTTACAAAGGAAGGATGCCAGATATGAAAAGGACACCCCATACATTTTTAGAATAAAATTCTCTTTTTGGCAGCAAAGTTAAGTTTCTAAGAAAAAAGATAAGACATTATTAAATGGTTTGGTTTTCTGAAATTTATTTCTCCAACTATAATTCATTTTTTTATGATGACCAAAAAGAGAATATCCTCTTCTACCATCATATAATTTTCATAGTTAAAAATACATACAAACAATGGTTCATGCCAATCTCTTTTCCTGCCCCGCAGAAGGGCCTTATCTCCCCAAATAGACAATCAGCCCTTTGGGGGCGGGGCCCAGCACCGATATAACAGTGCTTAGTACAGGCTGATTGTCAAGAACTGTTTTTAAATGCCTTTCAATTCATTCATGATTTTTACAGAAAAATAAATTTTATGTTATACAATTTGGAATATTAGCAATGAATTAATACCATTTAGTAAGTATTACGCAGTATTATTTCACCATTTATCTCTGCATTTTTCATTTTTCTTAAAAAATAGTTATTTTTATAGAAACCCACATACCAGATTCTTGTTTACCTTCTTTCCAGTGTAAAAAAAAAGTACAAAGTTAGTATACGAATATAAAATCATTCAAAATATTCTTTCATTCAAATTGCTAATAACTAATGTTTACACATGGGACTCGTGATTTAAAAAAGGGTATTTCAAACACAAACATTTTATTTTGGTAATAAAAGTGAATTAGTGTATTCTTTATTATGATTCTCAAAGTTTGTGATTTATCCTCAATTTCACAGTATGTGAAATCTGTCATTTGGTAAGAATACCAACTATAGTTATATGAACAAGAGAAAGCAGAAACATATGAAGTCAGTCAGCATATATTTGCTTTTAAAAAGATTGCAAATAACACAGTAACTAATTACAAAGACAGCATCAGTCACATCCTGTTACCTCAGTTAATCATATCACAACTAAAATAAAAAAGGCCTGAATTGGAGTGATAATTTTATGTTGCTTACTGAGAGGTAGCAAGAAAGTTAATACATAAAACTTCTAAAATGAATGATTATTACCTACCCTGGACAGCAACATGACATGGAAAGAAACTAAATGCATTAATGTGTGTTTTAGTTATTGGCTCCCCACTTGCTAAAATGAAGATCATAGGTTTAAACAATCTTACAATTGGGGGATTATCCAGCCAAACCCTCTCATTTCAAAACCAAGGGAAATGACAGCCCAGAAGAAAATGTGACTTATCCCCTATTGTCATCAGAGGTACTTTCTGGTAGAGCTGAGAGGTACCTCAGGTTAGTGTTATAACATTCCACACTCAGCACTGGACATGGCTAAGGCTCAAGAGTCAATGAGAAGTGGTGGGAGAAACTTTGAACTCCACAGAGCCCTCTGCAAACATAAAATTAAAGAGCGAGAGCAAAGTTAGCTCAGCAGGGGTCCATGGAAGCCAATGTTGTTCTAAAGATGATATAATAATTGTTATTTGAAAGCTCTCACTTTAGGATTTGAGCTTTTTATTCACTGGCAGGTTTCTCATTTTTCTTAGCATAGTATAAGCTCCGTTCCTTTATGGAGTCCATGAGTATCTTGAACAAAAGTGCAGGCATTGTTTTTTGTTAATGGTGACATAAAGCCAGCAGGTAAATACAGCCAGTCCTTAGTAATCTTATTAATACAAGATGCTATGTTAACACTCAGCAGAGCCTCTGAACATCACTCACACTTGGGCAGAGGCAAGCCAAGCACAATGGTGGCCCCACCACCCCATGGTGATGTGAGGTAAGAACAAAGCATTCTGTACCATTATCAAATGTTAAGTGCTCATGGTGCATGGAATTGGCCGGACCCTTCACTGGAATCCAAAACTATTGTAAACATTTACTATAATTTCATAGGAAAGGTAACAATATGATCTTACTCAGAACTATTAAAAGTATCCAGTAAATATTTACTTGTAGGACTAGTACTGAGATGAAATTACCATATATGACAGATTATAATGGGAAATAAAAGACAGAATTATATTGAGACGGAGTAGTTTGATATTATAAATCTTTGTGAATAACCTAACAGTGACTGTTAACTATTTTTGTTTATGTTCATGCATGAAAAAAGGTAAGAGTCCTACAAATTAATATTAAAAAAATACAAAATTATATAGCCTCTACAGATTAAGTCAAATGACTATGTATATAAAACCCACTAAATTTACTACCTTTTAAAGTGGAAGATGAGTTAATTATGTTCTACACTTGCTATGAGAAATAATTTTTCCAGAAAAATTTCCATAGATTAATTTTAATCTCCCCCTCCAAATAATGGAAAACACTAATCTCCCACAGTAATATTGAACTACCCTATAGTTTCTATCTGCACTACACATATATATTAGTTTACCTATTACAATGGTTTATTACCTGTGATTTAAAACCTTTATATTTAAGACATTGGATTAACATAAAGTTATCTTCCAAATATGGATTCTTTGTATTCTGCAACCTTTTCTTGACATGATTAAACTGACACGAATATTTTAGGACAGATGAATTTTTTTGTGGTAGGTATTAATTTATGCACATATTTTATCATCATTTGTGATCAGCAAATATCCAAGTGTCGGAATCTGTTACAAAATATTTCTTCAGGCTTATCAATTAGCAGGTTATTAATCCTTTGAAATCAAGAACCATAGCAAATATAATCACAACACTTTCTGAAGAATACAGAAGGGAATTCACAAAATAGAATCCACATTCAGAGTAAGCGGGCAGGTAGATGACAGGAAACATTTTCAAGGAAACCTTTTACTTCTGAAGACTGTAGCAGGGAAAAAAAAATCTGTTGATAGGCTAGGTATAATCTTTTTTCTGTTGGAACATAAAGTCTAATTTCACCTGCATTGTCAAAGAAGCATACTTTTTGATTTTCAGGGCAGAATATACTATTTTTGTTATTTTTTAAAGTATATTTTATTGGTTATGCTATTAGAGTTGTCTCAATTCTTTCCCCTCTGACCCCGTCCACCTAGTACCTCCATCCCACCAGCATTCCACGCCGCCTTAGTTCATGTCCATGGGTTGTACATATAAGTTCTTTGGCTTCTCCATTTTTCACATTGCTCTTAACCACCCCCCACCCATCTATTTTGTACCTACCAATTATGCTTCTTATTCACTGTACTTTCCCCCCATTCTCCCCCTCCCCACTGATAACCCTCCATGTGATTTCCATTTCCATGACTTTGAATACGGTTTTTCAGCCCCTTCTTGCCTGCAACGTTTCTTTTGAGAAATCAGCTGTTAGTCTTATGGGAACTCCTTTGTAGGTAACGGGTTCCTTTTCTTTTACTGCTTTTAAGATTCTCTCTTTATCTTTAACCTTTGACATTTTAATGATGTCTTAGAGTGGGCCTCTTTACATCCATCTTGTTTGGGACTCTCCATGCTTCCTGGACTTGTACGTCTATTTCCTTTGCCAAATTAGGGAAGTTTCCTTTCGTTATTTTTTCAAATAAATTTTCTTTTTCTCGTTCTTCCTCTTCTGGCATCCCTGTGATTCAGATGTTGGCACTTTTGGAGATGTCCCAGAGTCTTATTCTCTCCTCATTTTTTTGAATTCTTATTTCTTCATTCTGTACATTCTGAGTATTTCTCCCTTATGTTCCAAATTGTTGACCTGAACCCTGGTTTCCTTCCCTTCACTGTTTACTCCCTGTGGATTTTACTTTATTTCACTTAGTGTAGCCTTCACTTCTTTCCTTATGTGTTTGTTGTACTCAATGAGTTCTCTCAGCATGTTTATCACTAGTGTTTTGAACTCTGCATCTCACAGGCTGGCTATTTCCATTTTGTGTAGTTCTTTTTGTTGAGTTTTGACCTATTTTTTTTTTCATTTGGGCCATACCTCCTCAATTTGGCAGCCTTCCTGTGTTTGTTTGTGTATGAGGTAGAGCTGCTTTGACTCCCTGTCTTGGTGTACCTGTTATGAGTAAGGGGAGGAGCCTTAGGCATTCACTAGGGAAGGGCAACCCACTTCACCACTTTGTGGCACTTATGGTGGGGAGGGTTGAGAGAGGGAACACTGCCATTTGCTCACTCTTGCCCTGTTTCCAGTTACTTCTCCCACTTCCTGTATGCAATTAGTGCCTTTCTAGCTGCCGCCCTAGTGCTGAACCCCAGAGTGGGTAGGTTTGCTTACATTCCAGGACTGAGTGGGTCCTTTAAATGGACTCTTCTGGAGACTTGCAGTTTCTCCGGTTGCCCAACCCCCACTGGTTTTAACAACCAGAGGTTATGAGGCTTTATTTTCCCAGTGTTGGAACCCTGGGCTGTGCGGTCTGATCGCTCACTCCTCAGGTGGCTGAGTTTGTGTCCACCACACGTGAATGTGGAACAACCTGTTCCACTGGCTGCCACCTTGCTGCTGCTACCTCACTGCCACCACACCGTGTCCTCTCTGTCCCAACTCCCCATCTCCACACCTCCTACTCATCTGGATTAATATTTCTTCTTTAAATCCTTGGTTATCAGACTTCCATACAGTTTGATTTTCTGACAGTTCTTGTTGTTTTTAGTTTTGAAGTTATTTGTGTGAAAAAGTGAAGTGTGTCTACATATGTCTCCATCTTGGCTGGAAGTCAGAGAAGCAAACTTTTTAAACCAAAGGGTTAATATGGTGACAATGTTTATGTGCTTGCTTCCTTCCCTGGGTTTCTCCTTCGCTCTTCAGAAACATAGTTACAGCATAGCCATTCTATACACATACAGCAAGGAACAGAGAAATCCTCACGACTGTTTATCTTTTAAGGTTTCCTAGGGAGACAGAATTTCATAAATGATTTCTACCTCACATTTCTGCATACTTTTCAGAGGCATGCCAGAAAATATCTAAGCCAAGTACATTTACTTCTCTGATGGCTGAATGAAAAAGAGATGGTTTCTCTACTAGGAATTTCTTTGAACTCAAAATCAAGTTCAATATTAATTCTTCATGCAAAACTATTCAATTAGAAAACCTTGAAAAGGCTTTACGTTTCCCAGAGGCCATAAAGAAAGGATATTAATTTTACTACATAAAATATTAAAAACTTCTGTAAATACAGCAAAAGCAAAGTAAAAAGACAAACTACAAAATGAGAAAAATACTTGAGAAGTATATTAAAAGAGACTAATTTATTTCAAGTATAAAAAGCTCTATAACTTACAAAAATAGACAAAAGACCTAATTTATATTTTGCAGAAAATAAATAAAATGGCTGATAAACATGAAATCTCCAACCTTCAGCACAACTCAGTACAGGCCATTTACAACAGTAAGGTACAGTGTTGCCTACTACATTGGCAAAAATAAAACATTTTGACAATGTGTAGTACTAGTGAAGGTATGGGGAAAACAGGCACACTCAAAACATTGGTGGAAATATACTTCTGTGCTACCTTCCTGGAGGACAATTTGACAATATTTCTTTAAGAACGAATAATAAGCCAGCAATTCTATTTCAAGAAGTGGATTCCAGTTATCTTTGTGTCTAAGTGTAAATATACAGGAAAAGCAGTATGCAGGGGTGGGCAAACACATTTACAGTTGTTCATATGGAAAAAGATATGCAGGTTATAATGATTACAGTAGCTCTACTGACTCAAAAGAATGTCACAATGCAACCGAAAACCTACTTTTGCCCATGCCTTTATATTGCATCGTTGTCTCTAATTGCCAAAAATGGAAAAGAACCTACAAGTCTTTTATAGGGAAGTGATTAAATTATATTTATAAAAATGAGGTCCCAGGCATCTGTTGAGAGAACAAAGCTCTCAAACCAATTAAAAAAAGATTCATATTGTAGAACTCCAACAGTATAACACAATGTGCATATTTGTATGGAGTGTATAGACTTGAGACACTTAAGCAAACATTCTGGAAGATACATAGAGTGGTAAGTGGGTAAGGAAAAAGAGGAGTTTGAGACTTTCATTTCCTATTTCATTGTATAGTTTCAATTTTTTTTTCCATTGTGTATATATTACATTAAAAATATAATTTAAAACACTAGTTGAAGATAAATTTCATTTTAGCAAGAAACCACGTCTATATATTGTGTGGGAAGCCCTCCATGAAAATAGCCTAAAGGACATGGTACACTATCAGGAACCTGGCTGATGTCTTTCGGATTTAATCTAAGTGGCATTTGAAGGTAATTCATTACAGCTTTGTGTTTTTCCCATTGGGTGCTCAAATCAACACTTTTGGTGAGAAAATCCATATTCTAGTCTATACTATAAAAGCAGTTAAAAATTAATATTTAATCAGTTGTTTTTATACTGCCTTTTAACATAAGTTATGTGTTTGAGTATGGATAGGCTAGCTGATGAAAAACCTTTCATTAAAAAAAAAAAAACAAGTAAAAAACAGCTTAGAATTCCAACCATTCTTCTAAAATGCAAAAAACAAACAAACAAACAAACAAACAAACAAACAACAACAAAAACCCCTTTATGTCCTAGTATTGTAAAAGGGAAAATGTATTCATTGTAGAAGAGTTCTGGTGACATGGATCACAGAGCCTGAAGTCTGCAGTATTAGTCCTGAGAGGAACACAGGAGCCTGCTCATGCTATCATGCTGTTTCAGCCAAGGCTGCAGGAAGATTTCCTCACTGGACTTTATGGAGTGCTGTCACCTAGTACTCACCTGTCAGGCTGTCTGGCCGAGGTGGAACCATTCTCTCGTAAATCTCATATTGCTGCTGTCCAAATTGTTCCATGTCATGAACAGTCCTTTGCAGTGAAGGTCCCAGATGCTGTGGAACGGCAGTCATCCCCGAGCATTTGGGGGATGACGACCCCACCTGGCCTTGGGTTGGGGAAGCTACTCGAGTCTGTGCATCCGTCAGGGTCAGTGGAGACCCAACTCTGGCGGTGGTTTGGTACTGAGGGGTTGGTCCGTTGGGATTGGAGGTCTGCCGGGAGGTGACGGACCCAATCCTACGCACAGCTGCTGGGGAGGCGGGTCTCTGTGCAGAGTACGGAGATGCTGCCCGCTGAGCAGGTAATGTGGTGGAGGAATATACACTGGGGTTCAGTGGTCGGGAGTCGGTCACTGATGGAGAGCCAAATCCACTACCCAGAGAAGTTCTCAGTGACCCCCTTGAAGGAGACACGCCTGTGCTGATAACATAAGAAGGAGACTGTGCTCTAGATGGAACTGAACTAACTCTTCTCATGGCCCGATTGGCTACTGATGGCTGATGAAAGGGGGAAAAAAGAGAATGGGTTTAACCAGGGTTTTATGTTCAATGTCATTACAGAAAAAAATGCACATAGCTCACTACAACATGATTATGTTAGGCATCCAAGTTGTTTCTTTTTCTTTTTATGCTTTAGAACTGGATCTTAATATTTCTTTATTCTACACTTTTTTGGTGTTATTATTTCTACCTTTCCCCTTAGAATACTAAAATCAACCAATAAAGAGAGATGTACAGATATTTAATATTCTTTTTTCTTTTGTCTTTACATTTTTTACCCTCTTGCTTATGCATTTTCTACAACACATAAAATGTATTGCAAGTATGAAGTGTCATTGGAGCAATGAACTTATTTTATTCCCTGTGAGTCAAAATTTGGCCAAGGTAATGCATTTCTGTTAAACAAAAAAATGTTTTTTTAACACATCAATCTAATGTAGCTAGAAGAGCATCTATAATTGTTTAGTCTTTATGGATTGGTCTCATTAACAAAAGGAATGTGTTCTTTCAGTGCAGAATAAAATGAATGTTTGGACAGAGCCTGGGGACCAACCCTTTCTTTTCTGAATTTACTCTCAAGGGATGGCTTGTTTGGACAGGTGTTAAAGCATAATCTGTGACTTCTTTTAGCTCTAGTGTGGCTTTTAGTGATTTCAGTCATTTCTACCTCCTTTACTATGTAAGCTCTTATCTTTAGCTGGTGAATTTAAAGAGATACAAACAAAGGTACCCCAAATCTATTCCCACAGAAGGAATGTCAAAGTCTCTGGTGGGTCCTTGGCCTAGCCAGCTGGAAAAGACCAGAACAAGAAATGAGAAACATTTCTGCCCAGGCTGGTCGTTCTGTGAATCTGTAGATTCCTGCAGACAGTGAGTCTCAGATCCCTTTCTCGATGCAGTACAACAATGAGGAATACTGGCTGGACTGGGGAACTGGTGTGAGAAGAACAGGGATGGGAAACAGACACTAGGGCACTGGGTTACTAGCTCAGGAGCAGGCTGCTCTGTATCTCCTTGGTGATTGTTGAAATACAGCTGCCATCAACCCATCACTTTTAGTTGGGGCAATATGGGAAGAAAATGGATAAGATAAGGACTTTGTACACTAGTAGATGCAATAAGAGTAAGCAGGTTTACTCTCCAGGTGTCACAAGCTATTGAGCTGGCGAAAGACCTGCTCTGAGACCTCAGGTGTGCCCAAACTCAATTCTGGAAAGGCAATAGCCATGGAGAGTAGAGGATCTGAGGAGGGAAGAGAACTGTAAATAAGCAACAAGGCAAGAAAGAGGGGGGTTAAAAATTAGTAGACAGAAAATTAAAATCTGTGCATGGGGTTTATTAATAGTGCTAAAAATAAGAAAATGCCAGACTAGCTCTTTACTACCAAAATGGGATAATAATTGGCCCAGATAGCTAGAAAATGTATTTTCCAAACTATATGTAAATTAACTTTTAGAGACCCCTCCCCCAACTTAATTCTTCAGATCTAGGAACAAAATCAACTCACAGCAGTTTTTTAAAAAGTAATAACCTTTTAGAGAAAAAAAGACATAATTTCTGTAGTTAATTATTATTCAAAAGTGTGATGTCTAACCTGCTGACACAGAAATTCACCTAAGCAGATGAACTCCTGTAAGCACTTAATCCAAAATGTCTCAAACTTTTCCATCAAAGCAATCCTGACAGCAAAGGAAAAAAATCTATAATCTGAGGCCTGGGGTGTAGTTTGAAGCAGATTGCTATAGACATAAGATTTCCTGTTTTAGCTTAAAATTTGATATTTGTGTTTAATATATAAATGTTTCTAATTACTTAAAAACTTCCTTAAATATCTGAGCCAAAGCTGTATTATTTCTCCTTTGGCACTGGGAACTCCGGCTGGCTGCTGTGGCACCTTCAGGGCTTCCTATATTGCATTATGGGAGGACTAGTGTTTCCCTAACTTCTTTGATCATCTTGCCATTTTTCAGCTCCAGATAAATCACTAAGGAACTTGGACAGATAATTATCCTCACTGATTACTGATACTCAGGACTCCTATGGCTTCTAATAATTCTTGAATATGCTGGTGAACTGATGTGAATAAATTCTGGAATATGCTGGTGGACTGATGTGGTAATGACTCAGGAGTTAAGAAGTTTTTATAAACGTGCATGCAGTATTATTATTTTTTGATTATCAAATTAGAAAACCCTATCTTAACAGAATGGTTATGCTTCTATAAAATGACTTTCTATAGGCAGGAATATCTATATTCTAAGCAAAGGAAAGAAAGGTGTTTTCAGGGAATAATTCCAATAAAAGGAAAAACTTTGGTTAGAATAGGCCATTCCCCCTTTATGCAGTTGTAGAAATAGTGTTCTGCCCTATAGGGCTCCACAGCATATTTTAGCTGTAGTATTTTTGGGAACTCTTAACTCCTCAGGCACAACATCCCACCCAGTTCTCTCTCACTCCTGCTGGGCTTCTCCCCTTATTCCAAACTTGTTGCTTTCAAAAGAATTAATCTCCTGTGTCTGGAATTTATCAGAATTCATTAATGGGAGCTAATGAAAAGAAAAGAATATGTACATTTTATGGCTAAAAATCCCTAATACCATAAACTTCCACAATGTAAAATGAATTTACTACTTTATCCATTCTATACATTCAAAATTGAACATATTGGTTTTACTTAAAAAAAAAATACTTATAACAGATATTCAATTAGGAGGAAAAAATATTTCTTTCCAAGGCTCTTGTATTTGGTTTACCTGGCCCAGTGTTTGTCCTTCGGCTCTTGAATTCCTCACCAAATGGTTATTAGTTGATCCTATGAATGAATGCTGTGGTCTATTATCTGCTTTACTCAAGTTCTGGCTATTGTGGAAACTTCCTGTTTCCTGGTATCCACTGTCGGAATAAGAATTCATTTGTGTTGAACTTCTTGAGTTACCCAATGATCCTGGAGGAATGAAACCAGCAGAAAATATCTTTATTTTACACTTCTGATGCTCATTTTTAAAAATAAAATATTAAAAGAAAATCTAATATGTAAAAGATAATATAACAGACCCTCACTTTCATGGAGGGATGTCTGTTCTGGTGAATAGAGGGCTCCTTGTTCTGGCTCTGTCCTGATGAGATAGTGGTTGGGATGGACAGCGTCAGAAACTCTAGGTTTGTTTACACCAGTGTTTGGCACATCTGTAAGAAGATGAGTTTAATTAGCTAAATCTAAGGACAATAATACATAAAAACTGGCTGAAAAGGTTCAGGTATTTATCAGTAACATATTATAATCTTTATGATAATAGAAGACTTTTTCACCTAAACTGTACAATTATTTTGATTCTTTTCTATATGAAAGTGTTCCATATACATAGCTTATTAACATATTTTGCTAAATTTCATGAATGTTGTTCATGAAATTAATTTACACATTGTATGAAATTAAAATCTGAACACTGACCTTGTTTTCCCTGGGAAAACTCACCTCTCAGGTGACTTCCTCCAAGAGGATTATCAGACTTGAGTGAGAATGGTGCTAAGTATTTAAAAAGACCCTCCCATACCTCCAACTTTTGAAATGAAAACTTGCACGGTGTTCATATTATTGATTGGTGATTAAAAAATCTGAAGATTGGGTTATAGCTTTTCATGTTATATTTCATATCAAAAATCAACAGAACTTTGTAGTTTTCAGAGTTACAAAAATGGAAACTATTTCAGATGCAAACAAAGGAGACTTTAATTTCTTATCCATTTTTTCCTTTTAGTCTTTTTCCAAATGAACACAGACAAATCTAACCTGATCACTGTCTCCTCTAGCTAAACCTGTTTCTCTCATTATCTCGTTTTATTGTCAACTTTAGCATTCTGCCATCTTGTATTTAAAAACAATATATCTCCCTTTCCCCTATTACAACTTCTGTTTTTTATGCTGTAAATTTACGTAAAATTTAGCCTTTTCCTAATTTCATTCAAGTATGTTCTCTTTTCTCTGTATCTTTGAAATATATTTGCCCATGTTGTGATTATCTTCTAAGTCTGTCTTTCCTCAAATTTAACCCTCATGCTGCTATCAAACATTTTTTCCCCACAAACGCTGCTGCCCTCTCATTTCATAGATTTAAATTAAGTTTGCAACAGATTCTGAGTTCAACACAGAATCTGAATAATTTCAATGTCTTTATTTCTCTTTCCTTTCTGACTGTTCAAAAAAAGATTATTTTAGAGAGAGGGGAAGGGATGGAGAAGGAGAGGGAGAGAAACATTAATTGGTTGTCTATTGCACTCCTGCAACAGCCCACAACCCAGGCAGGGGCCTGACAGGGAATGGAACCGGCGACTCCTCTGCTCACAGGCCGGCACCCAACCAACCGTGCCACACCAGCCAGGGCCTGACTTTTTTTCTTTAACTATTTATTAAGGCTCTATTTTATGCCAGTCCCTAGGAATGCAGTTATGAGAAAAGATAGTGTGTGTGTGTGTGTGTGTGTGTACAGGAGTGGGGGGGGGCAGGAAATGGGTGACTAACAGTATCTGGGGGAAAGGAGCTTAGGAAAAATTTCATAAAGGAAGAGGTAAGCAGTATGCACTTATCACAGGAGGCCGGCTTCTCCCTTCTTTATACCAAGTATAACTACTGCTCTCCGCTAGAACATAAGCTCAATGTAGGCAGGAACTTTGATTTGTAAACTGTTGTTGTATGTCAGTGCCCAGGATAGGTGCATAACACAGTCAGCAGGTGCCCAGTTAAGTATTTGTTGATAAAATTCCCAGCAAGACTAGCAGCTTTTCTGAGTGCTGAGGCTTTACCTTGCTGTGGTCAATAAAGTTTGTCTATGTGAAGGGAAGTACAACTTTCAGGCAGTGCTGATCAAGCTAGTTTGGAAAATGAATACAAGCTTTATGGGAGAACTTGGAAATCCTCCTATACTCTAACCCTTCAACTTGATGTCAAATTATCCAACATTTTGTTTCCTAGACTCCAGAAAGATGCACTGACATTCTTAATAGAGGTTTTTAACAACCTATCTCCTGATTTACCATTTGATGCTATGTCAGTTCTGAATTCTTAGTTTGGAATTTCAATAAAAATTACAGATTGTATATAGTTTCCCTGGTACATGTTGAAACGTGATCTAAGTATCTGTCAGGTTGATGGAGTGATCTGCTTCATTCAAAGTCTTCTCTCATGAGATTCCAGACTTGTAAAAATTATTATATAACAATTCCTGAAGGGCTTTTATTAAGGATTAGGTAAAATACTTAGTTTGCTAGGCTAGAAGACTTTTACAGGGGATTGGAGTGCCTGAGGAGAGCTACACAAGACAGGGCCTGAAATCAGAGCTATGCAGCAGTTCACCTTTTTGATTTCCAGGAATGTGACACTGGAAAATCAAATATGAAACTATAACAGACTATAGACAGAGAAGGGCCAATGTGGTGGATTTAAGAGCTGTCATACATGGAAAAAATACACTGTTACTTTTCAAAAGAAAACAATGGTTAGCTAGTTCCTAGCTTCAGGTTTAGTACAAGATAAAATCTGGGACATCAATATAGCAGAGCTTTTGGCTTGGAAACACTAGGTGGCATGCAGTGTCAGAATCTGAAAAATTATCACCATGGAAACCGGAAACCATTAGTGTGTGTATGCCTCCATCTTTTATTTTTAAACTATAGGGAGCTATTATTTAAATACAGAAAGAGAAAGAGACACCCTAAAAATCAGCAATTGTGTCTCTTTATCCAGTGGAACATTTTCTCAGAACCATGTGACAAATAATTGTGCTCATTTAAACTCTTCTTTAGGAGAAGCTGTTTAAAGTAATCATAAATAGAAAGCACAAACTGTGACATACACGACTCTATACAGGTCATTCTAATAAAACTTCACAGAACTAGTGCTGCAAAAAATACAAAAACAAACAGATCATCCCCCACATAATATAATCATGTGCCCTCCAGATGTTAGTACCTGCTTCTTAGATTTTTAAATGCAATACCTCTCAGTAAATAAAATATAGAAAAGGACATTGAGATGGTTAATGAGGACAGTACATTACTAAATGTACTGTCCTCATTACATGCCCCCCTCCCTCCAAATCAAATTTGCCCCCCTCCCTCCAAATCAAATTTGAGGATTTAAATAGCTGGGCTTACAGAACAGGCGTACATTTTGTGTTTTATTGTGAGTACCATGTTTTGCCGTGTATAATGCGTACCCACATTTTTGGCCCAAAGTTTCAGGAAAAAAAAATCTTTCGTTTTAATTTAATTCAATTGTTAATTTACTTATATTTAGAAACAAAAGTGATTATCATACTCTAGGGTATTATTTTACATATGATATTGTTATTGCTTCCTAGAGTTACACTTTTAATTCATAAACATAAATAAAAATTAAAAATATGTATATAGATATGGAATTAGCACGACCCACATATTTTTCCCTCAAAAATTTGGGGAAAAAGTGTTCATTATACATGGCAAAATATGCTATATATAAAAGTTTTAAAAAGTTGATATGAGAGATTTATTTAGTGAAACAGCCAAATTCTATACTATGAAAGAGGTCTTCAGTCAGTTTTCTGCCCAACAATAATGGGCATCTGCTAAGACCAAAAGATCCTGAAGTCTCCTGTGCATCATTAAAACTAAGTTAAGCTGTTTTCAAAATAGTTTTACTGTTATTTACTGTTTCTTTGAAAACTTATAATTCACAAATTCTATACACACACATAAATGTATGTACACCCAACCACCACACCTCAGATAAACAGAAGGCTAATTTCCTAATTAACAAATAAAGTGCTCCTTGCTGTAGTATGGTAAACTCACAATTATCAGTAGTATGGCAAGGCTCACAATTATTAACGATGCATTATTTATGCAATTTTACTTTAAAATAAATGTCTTTTAAAAGCATCTGCTATGTAGAATGCAAGAAGACACTAGCTTAATTTATTAGAGAGACTACAGATAGAATGGTGTTAATCACTTCGCAATCAATGCTATAACTATAATTAAATGGCTAGCATGTTATAGCACAATCAGAACATGAAATCAAGAGACATTTTTATGAGTAAAAATGACAAATATAATATGAATGCTACTTCTTTGATCTGTATACCAACGAACATATGTTCCTTCTTTAAGAAAATCACAAACATGTTTTCTGGAACACCAGAAATATACTACAGGGCATTTTCAAACATCAAATTAGCATCTTCCACGAAAATGCATGTCTAAAAATATAGAACTTGAACAAGCTTCAAGGTACTATGAAATAATCTCCATCAGTGTTTAAGACTGGAAGATTATTGGAAGCACAGCCCTTCTTGCCTATTACATTTCATCTGATTGCCCCAATATTTAACAAAAAAAAAGGCAATTAGGAAAAGTAGAAGGTTGCAGTTAACACAAATATTAGTGGGCAAGGAACAGTAATGAGTATCTGGTATGTACCTCCTAAATATATATACCAAGTCTGAATAAAAAATGCTCAGTAAAAAGTCTAAAGCTTCTCTAAAGAACTTCAAATTATATAAAATTATAGAGGTCTGTACTGTGTGTAGAATCACCATGGAAACAGGAACCTAGAGATCAGTAAGGCGAGTTTTAGTATATACAACTCTGTAGCTAGTCTTTCACAGTCCAGATACTGTGACCTTATGTGAAAAATTCTCTCATTGTTTGTGCCTGTCCTGAGTTGCTACACTGTTTAGAGATTTGCCCTTACATAAAAGACAGTATAGTGTGAGTTTTGGCAGACTCTTGGGATGGTCATAGCATGCATCATAAAGGCAAACGGATAGTCTTGTTGACAGTTAACTCATGAAGGAGTCTGCTTTCCACAGAGCTGTGGCAATATTGTAGTGTGTTCTATGGCTAAGAAGTGTAAGTACTGTGCCAAATCATGAAAGAACTAGAAGATGACTCTGAGAAAATGTCTCTTCAGTAACTTCTTTGACATACAAACAAGACTCAGGTAACCTATACCAGGTAACTTTTTACTGGAGGGAATGAGATTAGAAAAATACTGTTTCAGAGTGAAAATATATTTATAGTGATGGGAACATAAAGCATAAGAACATTCTTTGGCCCATAGAAGATATAGACAGATATTGACTGATACTTTAAGAATATTACAGATCATTGGAGATTGTTGGATCAAATATAAACTACCTACAAACATC